TTTTAGATAACTCATCAGCGCAGTTGCAGCGGCCGTTGAAGGAAACCACAAGCCCCTTACAACAGCAACTGCGAACAGAAGATTACACTTGGATTGAGTCAAACAAGTAATGAATGAGAAAATAAAATCACCCTCTGGGCAGGGTGGTGCAGCTGGAGGAGCCGGTGCAGGACCACCGAGCGGACCCGGCGGTTCAGCCGGCTCTGGCGGACCTGGTAGTGGTGGTAATGTTGGTCCAGGCTCCGTAGTTCCCGGTGGTCCAGCGACACCCAACTCAGCAATAGGCAGTGGACCGCCAGTTGGTGGTCCACCAGCATCAAATAACGGCAGTGATCCACAACAACAAACAGTTCCACATACATATGGACCGCCAGGCGGTGACCCAGCAGCGGCAATATCACATTATCATCTACATCAACAACCACATCCACAACAACATTTGCCCCATCAACAGGGTGGTCCTGGTGGCCCTGGTGGCCCACAGAATCCCGGAGAACATCCACAAAAAGATGAATATGGACAAAGTCCCTTAGGTGGACCGCCACCGGGAGGACATCATCCCGTTTATGGACGTTATCATCATCCAGATCCAAACATTGATCCCTATCGCTATGGGCATTCTCCCATGCAGCAGCCACCACCCGGTGGTAAGCCGCAACAGCAACCGGGACCACCGACGGGACCTGGAGGCGGTATAGCCTCATCAAGTCGACCACCACAACAACGATATATTCCAGGGCAGCCACCACAAGGTCCTACACCCACTTTGAATTCGTTGCTACAGTCGTCGCATCCACAGCCACCACCACAACATCGTTACGCAAATAGCTATGATCCGCAACAACAGCAACAACAAATTCCACAACAGCAACAACAGGGCGGACCACAGGCTCCACACGGCCCGCCACCGCCACCACATCAACCATATGGAACGCAACAAGGCTGGGCACCACCACCGCGTCCATACAGTCCACAATTGGGGCCCTCACAGGCCTACCGAACACCACCACCGGTAAGTGGAAAGAATAGCAATTTATATTTGACATTCAAAACAATTACTCTCGCTGACTTGTCAATTTCATTTTGTTTATTTGGACAATTTAGTTTCTTTTAACCATAATTATCATTTACTTCCACACATACAGCTGACAGTGAGTATTTTAGCATAATGTACTTCGACATTGGCATTGATTTTTTTGTTATCTAAATTTGCTCCCTTACCTCCCAATTTGATGATTGGAGGAATTATTTGGCCAGCAAAAAAGCTTACAAATAATAAATTTCATACTTCGTTTGCTGTTGGGATACGAAGTGCCGTAGAAATATGTATGTATGTATGTTTTTTTCCATTAACATTGTTTAATTAGAGAGCTGGTGAAGTTCGTGCGTAAAGAGTGTCATTATGCCACCTTTAGTAATTGTACATTTGTATGTTTTGTTTAGATAAACATTGCAACTAGAATGCAAAGAAAAATCTGACTCTGAAGGTGGAGCAATAATACCAAATACCAAAAGTAAACAATCTCTGGCTTATCAATGCCGGAAAGTCGCCGGCAAATATAGAAATATCTTCACACACCAACAAACAACTGCATATATGTGCATACATATGTATGTATGTATGTAAAATGTATTTAGCTAACCGGCTGATGGTGTTTCTAGTTGGGGTATCCCAATCGCTTACTCATGCCAAAGAAGCAAATTGAATGTATAAACAGTCATGCACATACATACTTACAAACGTACAAAGTACGCCGAGTTCATACCCTCGCGTTTCATTCATTCATACATTCACTCATTCGTTGAGTAAAATTTGCCGCCTTAAATCATCAGCAAGGGCAACACGGCAGCTACAACAACAACAACGGGCATGAAAAAATAATCACAATCAAAAAAAAAAA